GAATAAATGAGAAATTCGTCTCATTTGGTAATCGTGATTAAAAAGGTTTTAACACGAAAAATTATTCAAAGTCAAAGCATTAAATTGAACAAAAACGTTCAAATAGAAAATACACACAATTTTCTTTGATTTTGTGGGCAAGCAGACTAGTATACCATGCCAAAAAGTGGCAGTGGTACAGAACGGTGAATTATCCCTTGTTGCTTTATTACGTAAGTTGAGATTTTTAAACCTACTCAAAGATTGATCTAAGTTCCTTATACGCAGCAATCATACCAAAGCCCACACAAAATTCTAACCAAAATCCCATAACACCAAACGAAATATCATCGAGTCGTAACAGGCAATCATGACATAAAGCCTCCCAAACTCTTTTCTATCTCATATCGCAGTGGGTCGTAAACACAAACTCTCAGTTATCCGCGCTCTATTTACGATACAGAACAAATAAGTATCGGGGAGGGGCGAAAGGACAAGAAACAATGAGAAATGACCTGCGGAAAATTGCGCGGATTGTGAACGGGATCCGAGCGGGAGCGATGAGAACGATGCTTAAAGAAATGTGCAGGGACGGACCTGGGGTTGGGATATTTGATAGGTTTTCAATTGTTTTGATAATTTAGAAATGGTTGGCATATCCATCAAGTATTTCTCCTGCGTATATAGAAGTTTTTACTTCAAAAACCGGCTAATGAAGACCTGAAGTAACTTTTTTTGAATTTGATATGCTTGCTGATGTCCAGCTGGATTCCTGGATGCGGGATCCAGCAATTGCAATCCCTACTCTGGTTATATAGGGTTGATATCAAACTGAATTGATTAAATACTCTTCACTGAAATGGAAATATGATTAGGGACTACAATACTACCTATCAGATGTGGTAGCCTGTTTCCTAGCAGTGTACCTCTGTCTACCTACTGCAACATCTAACGGCGAGTACCAGTGTGACATTTTCCGAGTTATATGTAATTTCTCAGATTATTTAGACACCACTGACAAACGGTGAAGGAAAAATATCGTAAGGAAACCTGGACTTATAATTTCTAAATATAAGTTTGAAATTGCCAACCCGCATTAAACAAGCGTGGTGATTAATGCTCAAACCTTCTCCGTGTGAGAAGAGGCTTTGCTCAGCAGTGGACATTTATAGGCTGTTGATGACGATGATGATTAAATTGTGATATATATGTCATTACCAAGAGAATGTATTTTAAGAGACTAAATGAGTGTTTGAGTGTGGTTGATTAACTCCTCAGGATTTTTTGTCCCTCATGCTAGCAGTACCTTGATTACCCAACGTCATAATCACCCCTCAATCATGTCCTTAGTTGGAGTGAATTGAATCATTCCACTCAACATCGTCGGCAGGGCCAGTGCACGTCTGTGCTGAGGCCCGAGGCGTCCCTGTGTTGGCGCGCACTCTATTTTCCTATTTGCGCGGCAGATTGGCTCTGATTGTATTGTTTGCGGCGGGGCGGGGCATTGATACCCTGGGCTCACTCCCCCCGCACCCCCAGGACCCCCCGACCGCCCCACAGGGTGCAGCCGAGCGGAAAAATGTTATCTACAACGTGAAATATCGCATGTTTGCGATAAATATTTGATAGGAGAATGGATTTTTAAATTTGTTTCGTGCGGACATTAGTTTTGTTGCCGGGGTTCCTCTGAGGTTAGCATGTACTAGGCTTTATTTATTACTGTTGGTTATGTGGTGGACGGCATTGGTTGTGAGTACCGGTTCTGTTATTTAATAATTATAAAATAGACAATATAGTTCCAAGTACTAAATCTGAAAATTGACACTGCTTGCAAAATCTCAAAACATTTTCCTTAAACAACCCTTCAAAAAGCCCTATAACAAAAAATCCGCCAGCCATCAAAACGATATCAAGTAATCAAAAGAACCCGCCTCCCCGTAGTACGGTAATTGACAATATCGGCACATGTGTGTAACGGCACCTCTGTAAGGTGTCACCCGGCGGTAACTTTTATGAGTGCGAAATTGTGTTTATGCGACGTTGCCGCGCGATTTACCGCCGCCGCGCCGCTCCGCAACCGCGTAATCGGAAATATTGCACGAGAACGAAGTTACGATGTGGTCCCGACGATAGCTGATAGCGGGGACTACGGTGAGGTTAGTAACTTCTTAAAGAACTCGAGTTCTAACGATATCAGACAATTGATTAAAAGGTTACAAGAAATTTGTCTTGTAATCAACACTAAGTAATCAAAGAGCCATTTATTTGAACATGATGCAATTGGACATGCTGTCCTGTTCTTCCAATAAAAAGAGGTCCTGAAACCCTAGCACATTTAAAAATTCCTTGCTATCCCATCAATCAAAATATTACACATCAAAACCACGTCTTTCTTTCTTAACGTTTTATATCATGTTTGAAAAGATACCCGCAAGCGGAATTAATGACTGATTAGGAACATGAATGAAACGTCATGAAAACAAAACTACGTACTCAAAGAAAGCTTTTTATTTGAACATAACCCTATCAATACATATTCCTGTTCTTTCAGTAAAGTAAACATTTTAGTCTACAACCCCAGCACATTATAAAACGCATAAATCCCTATGTCCCATCAATCAAAATTCACTATACCAAAATCACGCTTCACTTTATAAAAATATTTTAACTTTGCATAATTACTTTATTCGATCAAATCCTCGTGATAAACAGTCTTAGTCCTTCTCTACACTAAAACTAATTTGAATCGTTAGGTATGTTTTAGACAGTTGCCCGCTCTCATTCATATCTTGCCCCGCGTCGTGGCCCGGCGGCCGCATCTGGCCGTATCGTCGATAGTTTCACTACGACTCCGTAACAAACTAGTAATTGGTTTGCTATTGCCCGTTGATAGCTGATACCTTTTGTAACACCATACTTTATTGTTCTAAATATATTTGTTATTTATTTTAACCACAATTTGTGGACGCAACTGTATGAGTATTCTTTTGTTGGGGACATGAATTTCAATTGTATGTGACTTTTTAGCTCTAACAGCATTAAACTGTCAAACACCGCGAGGACACCGGTGTCTGCAAACCTATCGTTCTTTAATTGTGTCTATAATGACGGTACTCAAAGGGTACTTATAGCATTAATAAAGACTGCACGGTTGGTGCGGTGGCTGGGCAACCGGCTGCTGTGCAACGTGTCGCGGGTTCGATTCCCGCACGGAGCAACACTAGGTGTGATTCACAAATTGTTGTTTCGGGTCTGGGTGTGATGTGTATATGAACTTGTATGTTTGTAAACGCACCCACGACACAGGAGAAAATCCTAGTGAAAGGCACGTTTTAAAAAAAAATTGTTTTTAAATTTCTGTTACCAATGATTTGAAATTTCTTATCGCTCTCCAAGTAAATATCATAATTGCAACAGTTCAGGGGCCATCAAGTGTAGGAAGATTAATTAATGGTTAAATGAAAAGTCATCATCACATTAATGTTTATCATTTGTTAATTTTTTTATTGGATAACCCGGTAAACTAGCAGATCTATTTTAAGCAATCGGCGCCGCCCATGGACACCTGCAACACCAGAGACGTTACAAGTGTGTTTCCGGCCTTTTAGGAATTAGGAATTTGACGATTGTTGGGGATTTTGGGAATGAGGATTAGGGTGATTGAAGGCGGTGTAAATGGGCCTCCAGTAACCTCACTCAGACGACGTAACACAACGCAAGCGATGTTTCATGCCAGTTTTCTGTGAGACCGTGGTATCACTCCGGTCGAGCCGGTCCATTGCCGAAGCATAGCTCTCCCACACATTAAGATATTGCCTTATAAACCTGTCCTTACTTCTGAAGCACTATAATCTAAAGAAATACAAGAAACTCAAATGTGGTGCAACACAAAGAAGCAGTCTGAACGCTACGAATAATTGCTACGAAAATTTGTAGCGCTACGACTTTTATAAAAAGACTTCAAAAAATGAGGTTTTCAGTTTGTCTTGCGATTGGCGGAACCGGTTTTGATGCGGTTTTCCGTAAATCGTTTTAGTGTATTAATCAACCGACTTCAAAAAAGAGGGGTTGGGATCGACTTTTTAACGTAATTTCTAAAATAATTATATTGACAACAATAATTTCAAGGTACTATTTACATTAAATTGACTTTCTTTCTTTTTACTGTCCGTTAAGATTGTCACCGATGTTTTTACAGACCAACAAGTAGTAAGCAACAACTACAACTACTATGAGATTTCATTACAATATTACTGACACGAGAATTTTAAATTCCAATGTTTGAACAATACGCAATTTATCCGAAATAAATGGTACCTATAGTATATTTATTTTCCGGTTTACTGTCGAACCACTACTCAACCGCTCACACAGTTATAACCCTTACCTAACCAGAAAATAAAGTCACAAATCCTTCACACCCAACATCACTAAAAATCTGTCTAATTGGGACTTGGTGGAGTATATGAAAACAGCCGACTGTATACGCAACAAAATGCGGTTTTATTTTTTTAATTGCTCGTGAAGTGTAACACCCTGGATAATGACGCCTGTTAGCGAGACACAAAGGTGTGTGTGCGACACGTGCATGTGTGAGTTAAGTGTCATTAACCTGTCTTTGTGGCAACAGTTGTTTTTGTTTTGACGCTAACAGTGGAAATCTTGTGAGGATGACACTGTGATGATGACTGACTACAATTGTGACGTAATGAGGTCCTAGTGTTGTTGTGTTAGCTTTGTAATTGTTGTTTTTAATAGTGAGTTAATTTGAAAGTGGTAACGATGACATTTAAACTGTCAAACACCGCTAGGACACCGGTGACCGCAACCCAACTCAAAGGGATTTGGCAACGGAGAAATATTGCCAAAAATATTAATGCCATTCTTATTCCTTAGTAAAAAATCTTTGGTTAAGTGGTGATGCAGTTAGTTACATACTTTGACAAGACCTTTTTTATCTGCATTTACCAACTGATATAGAAAAGGTGTGCCTAAATATTAAATTGATTAATTTGTTGCAGGTACATAAAGACTTCTTCGGCCGTATCGTCCCTCTATCACAAGTACAAAGAAATGGTAAGATCATTTTATATAGTTAGACTAAATAATTAGTGAATAATATAATTATTGTATACTAGCTGACCCGGCAAACTTCGTACCGACAAAAATTTTTTTCTCACCTTTTAAACCTTCCCTGGACTTCCACGAACATCTCAAAACCAAAATTAGCCAAATCGGTTTAGCCGTTCTCGAGTTTTGGCGAGAATAACGAATGGAAGGTCGTTTTTATTTATATAGACAAATATTGAATAGACTGCCTCGTTGGCCGAGTAAAGTCTCAAGTTCGACTGCCGGGTTGGATTCCCGAGTCGGGTAAAGTATTAATAAGTTTTTAAAAAAAAACTCAGTACGCACGCAAATAGCACGGACTCTGGAATTGTGCCCGGTATATGGCATTAGACTCACCCCCTATTACATGGGACTCATAAAAGTGCAAAGTGGGTGCTATATTGTACAGTGGCATTAAGTGCCGTAATGTGCACCTCTGCCTACTTCTTCGGGGATAAAAAGGCATAATGTTATGATGTTATGATGAAAAAATGGAACACAATTCGCACAAAAACAATTATATTTAAAGTGGAGACAATCTCGTTCCAAATTACACACTTAAATGGAGCGCTCACGTTCCCCAGTTAACAGGACGATGCCGACGTAATCATACATACCTCTATTATTTTCAATTACTACCCTCGCACTGTTTCAAAGGGTTGTTAATATTCGTTTGTCTGACATCTGAACGTAACCACACCTGAACCGCTCCAGATGTAATAACCGACGTCAGACCATTGTTCTGAGTTCTGACATTGTGATATTAGTCGCTGTAATTACGTCACGGATGGGAAAATTTTAATAGATTGTTTGAATTGCTTTAGTTGAATAAAGCTTGGGGTATAATGAGGTTTTTGTATCAATTTTTTTTTTGGTGTATTTAATATAAGGTTGGTATAACTACCAGTCGTTGGTATTTTTTGGCGTTTTATGTGAATGACGAGTTTTATGATTTATTTGTGATTATTTTAAAATTTGTTGGAAATTATTAACTATTAGCTTCTGCCCGCGACTTCGTACGCGCAATCCCGTTTCCGTAGGATTTTCACGATTTTTTCTGTCTTAAGAACCTTCTCTTAATAATAACAAATACAACAAAAAAAAAAATTAGTGAAATGCGTCCACGCGTGATGCCCGTGACCAAGGGAATAGGGGATTCATTTTTATGTATTCTTGATGACATCAACACTGTCTTACTTAACTAAAAAAAAAACAAAAAACATGAAACCTCGATTCCCCGGTAAACACTGTTAATCTTCCTGAAAGTATGGTAGATAGATAGAGGGAAAGAAAGAAGCAGAAAAGTGTTTATACTGGTTTGTCTGACACAGGACCCAAATCTGGTCCACTACAAATGCATGTAACTCAACGAGACAGTACTCTCTTAACACGACAACTATTTAAACACAAATCGCAATCAAAAGACGAACATCTTCCATTGTGTATTCATCCTAAAGGAGGGAGTATCATCTCACTCCCTCCCCTAACTCCCACTTACTCCCCCCTCCGTCACAATTCTCGTTAAGGTGACTGTTTAATAATCTCAACGCGATTTGTAATGGGATTGGGCTGAAATTCACAAGAGAACTCCCTAAAGCTATATTATTGTTTCTACATCTGAGTACCGTTGGTGAATTTGATTTTGTATTATTCAAATTTGTGTTAATATTAAAATGGGAGTTCGGCTTAGTCGTACATTCACTTTGAGCCTTCATATTAAAGATAATCAAGCGTATTTACTGTTTAATTCTATACTGTATTAATTTTAGAATTATTATTATTATTTTATAGTTACGATTTTAATTCAGGCGGTTTTGAGTGGTCTAAGAAAGTGTATATGATCAGCGTCAACCATTTTTCAAGGTAGGCTTTCGTTTAATGGAAGTTTTAAAGAAAGAATAAACAGTGGTTTACAACATATCTCCGATATAGTATTTAAATAATATATTACATTTAATTAGTATTTTTTTTAAATTCATTGATATGAGGTTAGTTCTCAACCTCGCATACAATTCCTACTTAGAACAAAGAATAAACAACTGAATAGTTTTATTGTTCTTCAAAGGAAAACGAAGGAAAATAACTTAAAGCTAACTTCGTATTTAATTCATTGTAAGCACTACGAGTCTACGCGCATCCGTAGCAAGTGCTACGAGATCTGCTACGGGCTACGACTTGCTACGATTTATAGTTCTACTGAATTTAAGTGTTACTTTAATCCAAGTAGGTGCTTGTTGGCTTTGGATATGATAAGTAATGTAGTATGTTTTGGAATAATCGTACAATGTGTTATGTTTTAGTACAGTTAAGAAAAAAATGCGAAACTGTGAAATGTGTTAGACTAGAATCATTAGGTATTCTTGTTTCATCAACACGATGGAACTTAAACTTAACTGAAGATAATTTTAAACTGTCATACACCGCGACGACGGACGTTTTTGGTACGTGTTTTACCGGAGTGATATCACCGGAGTGAAACAACGCTTATTTTTCGTCAGGCGTGTTAGCAGAGGCCTTACAAAAAATATGTAGGTACTTATTTTATTTGAAATATGTATCAGAGACATTGTAGAACATACCTTTTTAAAAAAAGAGTAACGTATGGAGTTTCTTGCTCGTTCTTCTCCATTCGAATCTACATTTTAGAATAAGCACCTAGCTTCACCTAATTTCACTGACGGACTGACTGACAGACTATTATTTATTTTGTATTTGTTGACGTTTCAAAAGTACCAAACTATGGTTTAATTGAAATAAATGCTTTGAATTTGACTTTGACTTTATCCACTATATAAAAATCTAGTTATCGTTCATGAAATCACCGTTAAATATATAAGTATCTAAGATCGAATGTTACTGTCGGTACAATACAAAGTTATAATGAGTCGCTGTTTAAACTAATTGGCCGGTGTGTGCCGCCGAGCCGTGAAATCGACTTGTCTGTTTGATTTCGTACCCACTTACACGATATTGTTATTATAATATTGTTCTGTTAACCATTAACTGTAACCAGTACTGCGATTGAATGTAATTTTGTTTTGTTTAACTATATTCCAATTGTTTTGGTTGAGTAGTTTTGTGCCTTGCTTTTATTATTTGCTTGGATTAACTCGTCGAGTACCGTCTTTATAGACACAATTAAAGAACAATAGGTTGCGGTCACCGGTGACCGCTTGGTGTTTGACAGTTTAATAAGGGATAACTGTCGGTGATTTGTAATACAATGAAATGTTTTATAATAACTATCGTGAGACATACTAAATTAACTAAATATCTCCGGTTACACACGTGAAAATACTGAGAAAAGCTCTACTAGTTTCGAACCACAGAGGGGTTCTTCCTCATGAGCACGTAAGTAACCCGCGATTTTTAGTTAGAATGAAACGTATGTTTTTTATAACCTTAGTTTCCTTATGCATTTAAGTTTTTATGATGAATGTAGTACAGTTACAATGTTACAGTTTTACCGAATCGATTAGTGACATAGAGTTAATCTGTCAAACACCAAGCGGTCACCGGTGACCGCGACCTATTGTTCTTTAATTGTGTCTATAAAACCGGTACCCGACGAGTTAATTAGTAAACTGAATCGTTGATACGTGGTCATCATCATAATAATGGGCCCTTTGTCAATGAATAACTACCACAATTTGATTATTAATTAACAAAACCTAATATACCTATAAATCATTAATAATGATCTAAAGAGTCATGGTGGCCCGGAGGTTTAAGACGCCAGCTTTTCAGGCAAGAGGGTGCGGGATCGAAATCTACCAATAGCAAGTACCAATATGACGTTTTCTAAGTTATATGTACTTTCTAAGATTATTTAGACACCACTGACAAACGGTGAAGGAAAACATAGTGAGAAAACCTAAGCTTATAATTTCTAATTATAAGTATCTCCAACCTGCATTGAGCAAGCGTGGCGATTAATGATCAAAATATTCTCCGTGCGAAAGGAGGCCTTTGGTCAGCAGTGGCCAGTTAGAGCCTGTTGATGTTGTTAAAAAAACCTTTAAGAAACAAAATTACAATTAACTAAGACGTTTCTACACTCTCTACATCTCTTAATAGACGTATACTTAGCAAATAGGTACTAAACACAAAACGAGTGTTTGTAAATTAGGTACATAATAGGTCGCGAGAGGGAGGCGTCTCGCCGCAGTAATTAACAGCGGCAAATACCATTGTGTCTGAACGCCGCCCCGCTATGTTACCTACTCAGTATGTTTATGTATGTATAATGTATATGATATATGTTTTAATAACTGTGTCTGCCTGTCTATATACATACCTAAAAAAATAGCTGAATGTGTTGTGTGTATGCGCATCTCTTGCACAGCGACGGGCATCTTGATTAACGTTTTTGCGTTTCTCCGTACAAGATTTGTTATAAATAATAAAGTAAGAAAGGATAAACCACACGGCAGGTGCTATAATAATTAAACCTAGCAATCTTCGCTGCGCATGCCAAAACTGTTATGTGCATTTAGTCAAGTTAGTTTTCAGGGGAGACAATAAACTGTCTTTCTACATTTGCATGGACAGATTGGTAGACTTATAACTAAATTAAAAATGCAGAATGCAGTAATAAAGTGTGGAAGAGCCATGCTTCGGCACGAATGGGCCGGCTCGACCGGAGTGATGCCACGGCCTCACAGAAAACCAATGTGACAACGCTTGCGTTGTGTTTCGTCGTGTGAGTGAAGTTACCGGAGGCCCAATTACTCACCCCTTCTCCAATCTCCCCAATCCCTGAATACCCAACGATCCTCAAACTCCTAATCCCCAAATGGCCGGTAACGCACTTGTAACGCCTCTGGTGTTCCAGGTGTCCATGGGCGACGCAGATTGCTTTCCTTCAGGTGATCCGTCTGCTCGTTTACCGGCTTATGCCATAAAAAAAATCTCTCCTTCATTACTAAACCGTCCGTTTTGTAATACTCCTGTACTGTTAGCCTACATCACCTCATGCTTACTCTCCGGCCAAGCCTGATTACATCTTTGTATTGTGCAGATCCAGTGGCCGACGTGATATCTTCAAGCAGTGTGTTCTATCACTACCAAGAAGGCTTCAACAACGCCGTGAGGAGAAACGTACGAGTGCGGGATTTACTGTAATAGTTCAAGGGTATATTTCTAATATCATTAAACTTAATTGAGAACAGAATCAAGTTATTAATTCTTCAACGTCTGGAATTGTGTTTGGTAATAACCTTATTCTGCCTGCACCCAAACTGGGGACATGAAGTCAAAGCATTTATTTCAATTAAACCATAATTTGGTACTTTTGAAACGTCAACAAATACAAAATAAATAATAGTCTGTTAGTTAGTCCGTCAGTGAAGCTAGGTAAAGCTAGGTGCTCAATCCAAAATGTAGATTCGAATGGAGAAGAACGAGCCTTAAACTCCATTCGTTACTCGTTTTAAAAAAGTATGATCTACAATGTCTCTGATAGTTGTACTCCCAGTTGTACAGTCTCTTCTTTGTGCCTTTAGGCTTAATTTATTCTGTCTCCTGCAGTAATTCGCCGAGGGAAGTGGAAACTATAGTTTTTTCTTCTTCTCGTCTTATAATATCTTCTGATTCACTTCGTTGCGGGAATCAAGACTCCTGTCCCTTGGACGCGCCGGACTTTAGTGTCCCGGTGTTTTCATGGTTGTATCTACTGTAGAACCAGGTTTACAGGAGTTGCAGCGGTCTTCAGAGGTTGTGGCGGGCTTGTCCCATTAAAAAAAATGTCTCTGATACATATTACCCGGTTCCTCCCATCTACGTGAAAATGCAGACAAAATTCCAAGAAAAGTAATTAATTTCGACAACACGAAACAACAATTCAAATACATCTTTAATAATAATAATAACAGAACTTTGGAATTAACAACGGCACATAAATTCTAACACTCAACAGATATTCATAATGTCTCTAAGTTGCAAAGACGTGTTTATTAAAAACTTCTGTCATAAATACTTCGCGAACAAAATATATGATTCTTGTTACTCCTGCCTTGTCAAAATGCGATGATTAAGTATAAAAGTTTCAGCCATTTTGTTAGGGGAAGCAATCAAAATGATTGTGACTCAGGACACAGTTTAGAATACCCGTTTTCTAATTAATGAACATGTTGGTAAGTCGTTTTTAGGACGGTGATATATTTTGTAACTTGTGAGTTGTTTCTTGAAGTGTTAGGAAGATTGTTAGCAATACTGTGAGTGTTTATTGATTTATTTATTTTAATTTAAGGTACCAACAGCTATTATTTGTATTAATTTTTGTATTGTTTTATGTAATGTATTAATATTACAAACTAGCTTCTGCCCGCGTCTTCGTACGCGTAATCCCGTTTTCTCGCGTTCCGATTTCTGTCGTAAGAACCTTCTCCTGAAAATAACAAACACAACAAAAAAGATCAGCCAAATCGGTCTAGCCGTTCTCAAGTTATGGCGTGACAACGGGAAACGGGTTTCATTTATATATATATCTTATATCTATATATATATAAAAGAAAGTCGTGTTAGTTACACCACTTATAACTCAAGAACGGCAGAATAGATTTGGCAGAAAATTGGTAGGGAGGTAACTTAGAGCCAGGAGACCGACATAGGATACTTTTTAAACAAAATTATTTTTTTACTTTTTTCCGAAAATCACGAACGGGGACGGGAAAAATGGGATGGTACGCGTACGAAGTCGCGGGCAGAAGCTAGTAGATAATAAAAATTGGATATGCTAATACAAAGCCAATTATACGTTTCCACGGCTAGCTCTTTATAGAGGTGTTACGAATGCAATGCACATAAAAGTAGAAAACAAAGATATTCATTCAGTACATTTAAGGTTTAGTGGCCTACGCACCCTAGAACTGCTTGTGGTAAATAGATGGAGTCCTAAATACTTGCATAATGTATTAAAATCTCTACTCACTCGCACAATATAGGAGTTCTGTCTATAATTTGAGGAAGAACTTAGAACAGCAATAGGTGGATTAAATCGAACTGATTTTTTCGGAGCATTACCTAAATAACAGCTTATGCAAAAGGTTAAAAGTGATTGTTAGTAATAAACTACTACTGTAAATGTAAGCTAAAGTGGCTGCAAAATGTTGATTCTAAAGTTAAACGTTTACAATTAAATGTGGCTAATTACATGAAACTTTACATTTAGATATTACTTAGGTTACCTGCACTTAGTGCTACGCGATACTTGAATTTGGTACTTTTAGGTTTAAAACTTTCAACTATTCTAGTATTACACCTAAGAAGTTAATTATTATGTTTTCGGTTTACTCGATGACGAGGAACTGGACTAGTTCGTGAACAGCATTCCTAGATGCGCGTCACGGTGACTGTCGCGCTGCTACTGCATATGAGCTCGTAATTATTAGCTTCTAGCATGGCTTGAAACTAGTCGAGCTCCTCATCAAATAATAAATTGAATAAGCCGAAAAACGTTATAATTAATTGATGAGGATTGGGGATATTGAAGAACCCCTCTGTGGTTCGAAACTAGTAGAGCTTTTCTAATTATATGCACGTGAGAAACCCGCGTGAATGATCTTCTGTAATTAAGTAAGTAGGTATAAACACACCTATAGTCAGAATTTTAATTCGATTCCAGATTTGACAATTTCAGTGTTGCAACGTTATGACAAGTACTAAATAGTGACGTTGCGAAATTATTCGATATGGAAATGCAATATTTCTGGATCGATTCTTCTCGTTTATAATTTTACTCTCGTAAACTAAGTATATCAGGAAATTGAATATTTCTGAACCGACAATTTAGTTATGACGTATAATTAACGATCTGAGACTTTTCTTTTATAATTGTGTGTGAAATAAATAAAAAAATGTAATCATGAAGGAACATGACAAATAAAACAGATAGATGTATTATGGTAATAAGTTATTTTATAAATTGTCGCCGTCATCGCTATCGCTATCCTGTCACTTTCTGTAACATTTATTATAAAACACACACACTGATTGTTTATCGATTTTTGTGTGCATCACTACACTATTATATGTGGTATCATTATTTCACAAAATGACAGTAGCTATTGTCAAATCTGGAATCTAATTTAAATTCTGACTATAATTTAAATTAATGTAAATAATTTTTGTATTTTAAGTTATTTAGTTATAAGAGTATCTATTGTATATTTTTCTTTAATTTAAATAAATCATTGAAAATAAACTCGGGTTTTTATTATCACCAGAATGCCTTGTAAAGTTTAATCGTAGTAGAAAACATGGTAACTTCGCTTCTAGAGTATTCAACTGGACCTCATTACTTTAATAATCACACTCAATCACTTGGTTAGAGATTTAAAAAAACTGAATGACACAATATTTGGCACAAAACGTATAGCCAAGTTTAATCCCCGCACAGAATACTTTGGGTTAAGTAAAGTATTGTTATTATTAATTTGGGATTTCGAAAATTCTCAGTAATACCACAGAGTTTGTGATTAGGTCCGGTATACAACCTATTCATATCATCATCAGCCGAAAGACGTCCACTGGAGCTTACAACACTATGACTGGTGGACAGCGGGTGTTACTTTGAAACAGTTGGTCTCTCTAAAAAGTGTTCTCTATCTGTGTACCTTTTCGGAGATTAAAAAAGACATGGCGCTACGTTATAAGGAACGTAATAATAAGCCATCCTATCCTTTAAGATATTATTATTATTTGTCTAATAATGTGGTGGGTGGTGGCCCTGAGGTTCAAGACGCCCGCTTCTCATACACGAGGGCGCGGCTTCGAAACCTATCAACAGCAAGTACCAATGTGACTTTTACCGAGTTATGTATACTTTCTAAGATTATCTAGACACTACTGACAAACGGTGAAGGAAAACATCGTTGAAATCTGGGCTTATAACTTCAAATTATGAGTTTGAAATCGCCAACCTGCATTGAGCAAGCGTGGTGATTAAACTCAAACCTTCTCCATGCGAAAAGAGGCCTTTGGTCAGCAGTGGCCACTTATAGACTGTTCATGTCATGTTCTCAACATATATGTTCACTCAAGGTCATTCCCGCCCTAGCCCTCAGTCAGCAAATGTGTCTTTACCTAGGGAGGGTTCAAAAATTCACTGATTTTTTTACTAGTACGTCTAGTTGTTGAAATATTGCAAAGATTCCATGTGAACTAGGACAAGACCAATTCCACTATCTCTAGATTTTGCAGAACGTTAAGCGGGCTAGAATAGTCCAGACGTACCTATGCGTACGTACAAACATATTTGCTGATGGGTCCATAGAATATATTGGGTACATCGAAATTGGCAAGTTATAAAGTTATAATATAGGGTTATTTAATCTAATTAGAAAGGGTATCAAATGAAATAAAACCACAAAAAGTATAATTACATAATATTATATTTCGCAATAATTAAAACAACTAATGGTACATTTCTAGTGGTATATATTTATAACGTATGTACAGCCCGCGTCGACAATTCCACATATCGTGCATAGTGCAGCTCACACTGGCAATGTATGTATTTATGTATATACAAGCTTGGCGCGGGCCACTATATAAGATATTTATCACTATTATGTTTAATATGGGAAAGACAAGAATATTGAATTTGATGGAATGTGTTTACTATATAAAGGGGAATGTTTTATAGAATTGTGGTATAAATTAATGCTACAATATAAGTCTAACTGTTTTAGTAAGAATGCTTTAATCTGTCAAAAGTTTTACAATATTCTTAACAGCAATTAAAATTGTTTTTTTTAAATATAAAATGGAAGTTGGTCGCTTTGAGACAAACACATAAGATAATGCTTTGGCACATTATATTAATTCGATGATTAATATAAATAGGTTTTGTTTTAACGTTTATAGCGAAATCACATAAAAATACTGTACAGTTTGCAATGCAATAGACAGATAAAGGGTGATTAACCTTTGAAGTGTCGGAGCGTAGATCTACGCGAGACAATGGATTTTCTATTGTGTCTCATATATCGACAGACAAGAGGTGAATTAACACTGGAATCTTCTTTATCGAGAGCAATAAGTCAAGAAAAACTTATTTTATAAATCCAAATTTTGCTTTTTCAAAGTAGGGAGGAAACTAACTATAATCGCGGGTTACTCACGTGAATATATCGAGAAAAGCTGAGAGTGAGCTGCGCGACGTCGCCGCGACCGCGCACACTGCTTATGAGGAAGAACCCCTCTGTAGTTCGAAACTAGTACAGCTTTTCTCAGTATGCGTGAGTAATCCGTGATTTTAGTTGATTTAATATGTCTCGCGATAGCACAAGGGAGGAAACTATTCATCTTAAGATATTGCAGAGAGAAAATTATGTATAAATAGTTGATGTGTATTATATGTACGTAAGTGAATATCTTAATCGTATAACAAATGGTTTCCATATTTCTGTGTTCCTTAACAAATACTTCACTAAACTAAGTAAACTGTGTTAGCTATATACAATCTGTGAACTACGTACAAACATCCAAGTTTATTAGCTACATAATTATATCTATTTACAATTTCCTTAACATTAAAATAAGATATAAAGAAATATTCACAACAGTTGGTCGAATACTGAAGCGGCGATGTAAAATTAAATTACATAATTATTATACAACAAAGTATCGGATATATTTTAGTAAATAATAATGTTTTGATTTATTCTTATCCATAGATAACCTAAGAAGACAAAATATTTATAAAGAATAACAAAATAAATACATTAATGTGTAAAAATGTCGATGGCACAAGTTATTGGCATTTAATAAAAAATTCTTATGATTTTAATAATACTGTTGATTGCAGTAGCTACTTAATATTGACTACATCATGGCACATGAATTCACAAAGGTACAATATAAAAATAATAATGAAAACATCACAAAATATACCTACCACCTCACTATTTACGTGAAACTTATATGAGAGAACAGGGATAAAAATACATTTAATGTTGACAAGTGATAGATTTTTTTATATTTTCCGATGCACTCGTATTGACAAAGGTTTAGTGAGCTAATTTTGTCTCAAGATGCCATGGTTACACAACCAGTCATACAATCATGATACTCATTGGAGTACATGTAGTAGGGACAATCATTGGATAGTTATTTTATGATACCTTTGAGATTGCTGTTCAGCTGAAGCCATTTCAATTCAATCTCTCAAACTTGCGAATAATTTCATCACATTATTTCAAAATACTTATGGAAAATCGATAATTAATTTGTAGAGACCTAGTAGCCTTTCCATTGTTCCTTCATCTTCTTACTCGAGGTGTTTAGGTGGTTCATGGGCCTGAGAAGTGGGTGGGGCATCGTGTGGCAATAATGGCAACGGAGGCAGGGGGAGTGGTAGTGGCAGTGGCAGTAGTGCCCTCGACTGGAAGCTGGCGAGCTGGTGTAGTAATGCCGCGGAGTGCTCGTGAGCCTTGCGCCGGAGTTCCGCCACGCTTGAAGAACGAGCCTCTTCCTTGGGGCAGCAAGGGCAGGGTGCTCCCCAACCTGGAGAAAGAATAGAGTTTTAGTCATATGCTATTAACATAACCTTGTTGCTTCACAGGTATTGTATTAGGGTAAGGTGCAATCTACAGTTGACTTGATAAGACATTCGGCAATCCTCATAAATCTAGTCTTGTGAGTGAGTTCATGGGATCATTATAAATTACACTTTAAAGATGCGAAGAAATAATGAAAATATGAACTATAAGTAACTTATATGGCGTGTAAGTATATGAAACGTAGCTTAAAATACAGCCTACACACATCAACGGCCTATAAATCCCCACTGCTGAGCAAAGCCTCTTCTCACACAGAAAAGGTTTGACCATTAATCACCACGCTTGCTCAATGCATCTTAAGCTTAACTTAAGGTTATTTTGCCAAAAACCTAATCTTAGTTATCTGTGACATAATTTGCTTAGACTTTGACTTAAGACTATAACTTACCCTTAAGTGGGAAGAAAGGCTGCGACAAGTGGTTGAGGTGCTGCGAAAGATGAGATAGATGTGGTGGCAGGAACAGTGGCGGCGGGGGCGCTGGTGGGGGCTCGCCAGCGCCGCCAGGAGACGTGCGGAACGCACCCGTACTACGACAAAGAGAGGTTATTGTTAGTCAAATGAGTAAAAATAAAAAATAAAAATTTTCATCCTAAAATAAAGGTTAACTCATGTCATTCAAAAAAGATAACTCTGATAATCTCAAGCGAGCGACTACAAAAATCAGCTGTTAGATTTCTTGAGAATTGGTATTTGTTTATTATTTTAAATACTTATTAACTAAAAACAAATAGATTGTTCGGTTATTCGTATGTGTTTCTGATACTTTAAACTAACTGTAAACAGAACACAGACTAACAAAGTATATTTTCATTCATTAAAATACACAAATAAATTGAACTCAAAAATTACATCGGCTCAATCATATTTATTTTGTAAAAAAAACCTGATCACGTGCGCAATTTGATCAAAAGCATATTCAATTTAGTTTTTAAATAAAATATATTCGTTGTATATTTCCATGAGATGTATAGATAAATAAAATGTTTTATTTAAATAAGTTTTGTGTTCAAAGTGTGCGCATATCGATGTGAGAGCTTGGGCTTTGATCTCGGGAATGAAATTTGTGGGCAGTCGAGCGAGACTCGGACCAGAGGCGAGCGGGGTGACTCGACGCCTTCAGACACAAGTGACAGGATAAAGTGATTGGACGGTTGGGGTAGATGCTTAGAGAATTTTCTTTTTTGTATATTTTTTTATGGAATAAGCCGGTAAACGAGCAGACGGATCACCTGATGGTAAGCAATCGGCGTCGCCCATGAACACCTCGAACACCAGAGGCGTTAAAAGTCCGTTACCGGCTTTTTGGGATTAGGAGTTTGAGGATCGTTGGGGATTCAGGGATTGGGGAGATTGGGGAAGGGGGGGGGGGTAATTGGGCCTACGGTAGCCTCACTCACACGACGAAACACAACGCAAGCGTTGCTTCACGTCGGTTTTCTGTGAGGCCGTGGTATCACTCCGGTCGAGCGGGCCCATTCGTGCCGAAGCATGGCTCTCCCACACTTAATATAAATATCTTTTCGTCAGACAAGCATTTAGTAATTTTTTATCGTATTTCGTCTTGAAATTAAACTCGCTTGAATACTGTACTTGTCACAGAATCAAACACACACTAGCATTGATCACTAATAAAAAATGTAATGAAGATTGAGGACTAAAACCAATTAGAAATCCTAAAAACACACGTAACATAACATAACATCACGCCTTTTATCCCCGAAGGGGTAGGCAGAGGTACACATTATGCCACTTGTACACCCACTTTTCACTGTTTATGTTATGAGTCCCATGTAATAGGGGGTGAGGCTATTGCCATATACCGGGGACAATTCCAGAATCCGTGCTACTACGGAGAACTTCTTAAAAACCCAGTAATACTTTGCCCGACCCGGGAATCGAACCCGAGACCCCTTGCCCGACAGTCGCACTTGCGACCATTCGGCCAACGAGGCAGTCCTAAAACACATACAAAACGAATACACTATACATAAAAGAAATAGAAAAACTACCAATGTAAATGTTTTATTAGAATCAACTTATCTAGAATAGTCAGACACCACTCTCACAGTACCTATTGGTAGGATTAGAAAATCAAAAGGCTAGTGACATGTTGATTCACCACGGACTCCTGCTTGCCTCATCGCACAGTCTCTGTATCTGTCAGTTTACAAAGAATACGTGATGGATGTTACGATGCGTGTCAATCTGATACAATGTACGATACACTTCAACTCAAAAGTGAGTACAGTCGATTTATTGTACAGCCTTGTACACTATTTTATACTTGTGATAGACGTTCAAAGTCAAAGTCAAAGCATTTATTTCAATTAAACCATAATTTGGTACTGTTGAAACGTCAACAAATACAAAATAAATAATACTCTGTCAGTCCGTCAGTGAAGCTAGGTGAAGCTAGGTGCTCATTCCAAAATGAAGATTCGAATGGAGAAGAACGAGCAAGAAACTCCATTCGTACTCATTTTATGTTTCTTTTTTTTAAAAAGTATGTTCTACAATGTCTCCATGTATTCAAAATATTAAGTTGTGTGTGCAAGAGAAACATTCACATATTGCTTAAGTGTGAGTATAAGTAGGCACTTAAGCAAGCATACTCACACTTAAGCAATATAACTTGAGCAAGTTACAAGTAAATCTATAGTATCTAAACTATTATTTGAATTAACAAATGTTCCTAAATATAAAATATTCCATTCCTAATATTAACAAACTAATGTTTTATTCAATAGTTGAAATAAAGAACATTTATCTGTGTCAATACGCAGCTCTTGCAGTTGCTCTTTTTAGAGTCTATCTACGTTTGTTTATATAACAACAATTAAATAGAGAAAACTAAAAGATATCGCCTGATGTTGTTTACAGAAACTATTGTAAAATTCAGCGCAGGGACGGGGGGAGGGGGTAGACAGAGACAATGAAATGAACGCTGGGCCGAGGTGTCGCGTCACTCCCACATTCCCTCAGTGCATACTTGATGTACCGCGACGGGGCGAGGTTTGAGACATAAGAGGTAGCGGACAAGGATAAAAGAACTGGAAATTCGAGCTCCTGAAAGCTTGGTCTATGTTTTTGTTGACTTTGGTACTCCATAGACTTTTTTTAATTAATTTACTAATGCTTAGTATAGCGTGCATCCTATTATGATCATTTACTACTAGTGGATGATGAAGAGCTGACATAAGAGTGAATAAGTAGGTAAACGAGCTGACGCATCACCTGATGGTAAGCAATTGGCGCCGCACATGGACACCTGAAACACTAGAGGTGTTAAAAGTGCATCACTGGCCTTTTGGGAATTTGGGGATTGGGGAGACTGGGGCCTCTGTTAACCTCACTCACACGACGAAACACAACGCAAAAGTGTTGTTTCGCGTCTGTTTTCTGCGAGGCCTTGGTATCACTCCGGTCGAGCCGAAGCATGGCTCTCCCACACGTAAATGATAATATGTAATGTGATTAATTAAGATTTTTGACAGGCATATCGTAACAATAAGGAGGTACTTTATACATGTTAAAAAACTGGCAGCTTTGGATAATACACGTACAGTTACACGTAACTATAAATTCCCCCACTTTTGACGAATTATTCAAATAGCTACCTATCTTCTTGTTTAACTTCGTAATCACTGTTTTATCCTAAACATAACGAACAACTAAATACAACTGCCACAAAGCACGCATCAAGCTTTATAAATCGCTGTACCACCCGCTAGCGACTTGCACATCGTCACAGAAATTCCCTCCAGCACTCGTTCAATGGAATCAAAGGATTTGCGTTCATTACTGGCTGTAATAATTGATGCGTAGCAGCGACATTAACAGTTTTAGTGTTGCCAGCTTGTTTGACCAACGGGGCCGACATCACATTTCTATTGACACCTCTTTCAATTGCTGTTACCCGTGGGCACAGGTTGAATATGAATATTTTTTTCAATTGCTCTGATATTTTGAACTTTATTTTCGTAGATATATTGTCTAGTTTTGTGATATGATTCTATGAATCGCCAGCATCGAATACGAGTATCGAGTTAATTAACGATAGATAGTTTTCAAACGTTGATAAAGAAAGCAGTGTATTATGTTTGTTGACGTCACTATCTAATGCCTGCTACACACCTTTCGTTTTATGGCTTGTACACAAACTGCGATGCAATTTCATGCGACAAGGCGTCTCCCTTAAAAATCGAATTCGCATCGCATTGCATCGCAGTTTTGTTTACGAGCCTTTAACTGTGCAGTTTTAACTGTACAGTCGAACTGTACAGTTCAATCGTAGGTCCATACAGCATACACGCTTTCAGCTAATACTGTACAGTTCAACTGCTTGCTCTACACACCTTACATCTTTATATGATACTCAGACAGACAGTTCCCATAATGCATCGACAGTTCGACACATTCTTTTATTGAAATAAGTTAAATGTTTACAAATGGTAATACTTAAACATTTGTTTATTCCAATGGAACAAAACTCCAAATTTTATTTCACCCCTACACTTAATCTTAGGAAATCTTTCCCCACAAAGTTGGTGATATCAATGATTCTCGTTGCGAAATTACATTATGTACATCAGGGGTCAACTTAGGACTGACTGTGTAACGAAGCGCGACTCTATTAATTGATTTTAGAGGGCCGGGGGAGAGGGGGGACTTTTGGAAAATGTCCTCCTTGAGTTCCCGCTAATATGAATATTCAACTAGAGTAGAACCGGGCTGGTTGTAACAAAGAGAATTAATATTACAGCTAATAGCGTTAATGTTTTGATTAGACACGCCTGCTGAAATTGAGTGCCATGTAATATTCATAAACGTTGTTAAGTAGTTATTTGTAGATACACTCGCTGACACCCAGCGACAACTTTGTGTGTTTATTTATTTATTTATTATAAAATGGCATCTACTTTAATGGTAGTTTATCTGTGGTATTACTCTTTAGCGATGCGTTGTTGCAACAATGTGCAACTGTTTTTTTATATCTATTGCAAAAACAGTGAGACTTAGAACTGTCTTGTATTTACTAGAAAATTGTTCATAACGCACTTAGTAAAGAATAAGCCAGTTTTCAGTTCTAATAAATAAAAGGCAGTATCTCGAACACAATACTTCCATTTATCATCATTGTTTCTAATAAATAGAAGAAATAAAGAGTTTTATTTAAACTAAAAAAATAATAAACGACAATGACAAAATTATTTCTAATTTTTACATGTTATTAATACCGATATTTCTTCTCCAATAGCTACTAATCCATACATACATACACACACACACATACATCCATACCATCAAAACGCATCTACGACTACGTATCTACAATTCGGGAATGCGTCCTTTAACCTATATTTAGGTATGTGTGACGGCGGTCGGCACGGCTAATGATGGCGCTCAATTATTCATGCAATTAACTGATTATAGCGACACTGCGCCCGCCCCTCCCCGCGTAAGTAGACGAACACTAGATGTAGATGTAGATGTATCTATCTATGTGTGTATAGTGGTGGAATGGAGA